ACATTACATCAAAATTAAAAACAACATAACGAGAATATCATGGCCTTTAATATTCGTCAGGCTCGAACTGAGCACAACATATAAAAAATAAACAAAAAATGAATCCACGAGAACATTGTCTCATAAATACCAAACAAATATATTAAATTTTCTTCACTATCCATCGAAAGAAAATTCATCTACTTCTTCCTTTTAGTGTTCAGCTTTTTAGTGACTTCAACCACATCAACACCCGTCGGAAGAAATTTCATCCACTTCTTCTTTTTAGTGTTCATCTTTTCAGTGACTTCAACCACATTAACACCCGTCGGAAGAAATTTCATCCACTTCTTCCTCTTAGTGTTCAGCTTTTTAGTTACCTCAGCCACCTCAACACCCGTCGAAAAAAATTTCCTCCACTTCTTCCTTTTAGTGTTCAGCTTTTTAGTGACTTCAACCACCTCACTATTTGTCGGAGGCAATTCCATCCACTTCTTCCTTTTAGTGTTCAGCTTTTTAGTGACTTCAACCACCCCATTATTCGTCGGAGGAAATTTCATCCACTTCTTCCTTTTAGTGTTTAGCTTTTTAGTGACCTCAGCCACCTCACAACCCGTCGAAAGAAATTTCATCCACTTCTTCCTTTTAGTGTTCAGCATTTTAGTGACCTCAACACCCGTCGGAAGAAATTTCATCCACTTCTTCCTTTTAGTGTTCAGCTTTTTAGTGACCTCAGCCACCTCACAACCCGTCGAAAGAAATTTCATCCACTTCTTCCTTTTAGTGTTCAGCATTTTAGTGACCTCAACACCCGTCGGAAGAAATTTCATCCACTTCTTCCTTTTAGTGTTCAGCTTTTTAGTGTCTTCAGTCACCTAACCACCCGTCGGAAGAAATTCCTTCCACTTCTTTCTTTTAGTGTTCAGCCCTTTGGTGTTTTTTTTAATTTTTTGCCTATGGGAACACTTCAACTTCCTTTTTTCCACCACTTCATTCGTTTCTTCATTCAGCCTTTTAGTGTCCTTAGTGTTGTCCAGACGAGCACGACTGCGATCTGCCGTCATACCAGACGTCGTCGTTTCAGGGATAAATAGAGTGTTTGATTTATTGAACCAACTTAAATGTTGGGACATTTTGGAATCGGAAAACTGTGCCCTACCATAATATGAGAACATTTTATGGGTCTAGTATAGTTTAGTACCACAAGTACTTCCAGTGGGCGTAGCATAACGATTTTTGCATATGTTATTCCTAACCCTCACCTGACTATGCCATCCAAAAATTACGTCACTACGACGTCACCATCACGTCATAGGGATTGCCAAAGTATCATTACGATCGCCCGAAATGGCATCTGCGCCGCCGATAAGAACTTGCTAAAGCCGGCGATCTCTCTCCTATCGTGATCGTTGCGACGAGAAAACGAGAGAAATAGCTTGCTCGATTTCGGGATCGTCTGCGTGTTTTGGACGACCATCCGCATACTTCGGTGGGCCTTATTACGCCACTGTGACGTCGGAATGACGTAATTTTTCGGTGACGTAGTCAGGTGGGGGTTAGGATTGACATATGCAAAAATTGTTGAGCCAGGCCAACTAAAAGGGGATGTGGTACTAAACTATACCAGACCCATATATTGTTATTTGGAACTTTCTATGGTACAAAAAATGGGGTCTCCCTAAAATCAGGGACTTGCGAATTCAGGCACCATTTCAGGCACTTCGATATTTTTTATTTTTACCGTACGTCATTGGGGTTTCCGATTTACCTGACAAAATAATTAGACTTCAAATAAATTTTTGCATCCCTATATTGCAATAAAACAATATTATTTCCAATTTATTAGGGTATAAATAATTTTTCAATAGTAAAATGCTGCAACATTGATTACAAAATATAGAAATCAGGCACTTGTGAAATTTCAGGCACTTGGTCAAAACCTATTTTACAATGTATCTGATTACTTTAATGCAGAAAATTAAATATATACACTTTGTATGATAAAATTTACAACATTTTGGTAAAATACAATACCGTTTGTGACTGATGGAGACGTGTGATATTTCGCAAGTGCCTGATTTTTCTCGGTGACAGTTGCCATATTTTTTTGGATTATTTTCTTAAATTATTTGCGTCAGAACTTAATATTCTTTGCTTTCTAACGCAAATTCATTGTTCCACAACAATTTGAGCGTTTTTAATAATGCAATGAGCAATACCATTTGACAACATATGGTCAACCATCGTACTTTCTGGATTTATTTGAAATTGAATATGAATGATAAAATCTGGCAACCTCAAGCACAAAACACTAAAACCACGCACTTGCAAAATTTGACCCCTCATCACCAGTCTCAATCGTTTTTGTATTTTACAAAAGAAGACGTCATTTCAATCATACAAAATCTAGTGTATATTTTAGTTTTTGCTTCAAAGTAAGTAAAAACATCGGGAAATAGGTTTTTACAAAGTGCCTGAAATTTCACAAGTGCCTGGTTTTAGTATTTTATGCTTGAGGTTGCCAGATTTTTTCATTTATATTCAATTTCAAATAAATCCTGAAAGTACGATGGTTGACCATATGTTGTCAAATGGTATTGCTTATTGCAGTATTAAAAACGCTGTAATTGTTGTCGAACTAAAAATTTCCTTTAGAAAGGAATGATTAGTAAGTTCTGACGCAAATAATTTAAGAAAATAATTGCGAAAAAATATGGCAACTTTCACAGAGAAAAATGAAAAATCAGGCACTTGCGAAATATGACACGTCTCTATCAGTCACAAACGTAATTGTATTTTACCAAAATGTTGTAAATTCAATCACACAAAGTGTGTATATTTAATTTTTTTGCTTTAAAATAATCAGATACATTGTAAAATAGGTTTTCACAAAGTGCCTGATTTCTATATTTTGTAATCAATGTTGCCACATTTTACTATTGAAAAATTAATTATACCCCAATAAATTGGAAATAATATTGTTTTATTGCAATATATGGATGCGAAAATTTATTTAAAGTCCAATTATTTTGTCGAGTAAATTAAAAACCCCAATGACGTACGGTAAAAATAAAAAATATCAAAGTGCCTGAATTCGCAAGTACCTGGTTTTAGGGAGACCCCAAAAAATGACAAAACACAGAAAAGTTGCCAAAACTTCAAATAGCAATTAGTCTAATATGGAGACATGAAAGTAAAATAGAATAAAGTGATAACAAAAGCGCTGCGAGATACTCTCTTGTCATGCTTGTGAACATTGTAAAAGTGTTGACAGTAATTATGATTTTCCTCTCATTATTCCTGTATCAGTGTATGTATTCACTTCGTTCAATAGTATAAAACTTTTAAAAATTTTACATCCAATGGATTGACAGAAACCATGTCTATCTTAGGTAGGTAAATAATAACAAAAACATTGTACTTATCCTATATTCCATACTTGTAGCAAACTTTTGATGACAGATTCCTCACTTCCAGACTTAGCAACAGAGCAGAGTTCTATGAGGGCATTCAGGTGTTCCCTATCTATTTGTTCTTTTCTCATACAGGGGTGGTGGGGTGGTAGCACAAAAGTCATATTGGGGGGGGGGGGGGGTCAGAATAGGGCTGGCGAAATGCGGATCAAATTATGGGTGACGAAATAGGGCCGTCAAGTCAAGTCTGCAAGTTACGGCTGACGAAATACTGTCGGTGCGTGTCAGATTGAGGGTGGCGAAATACGATAGGTGTGTGTCAGATTGGGGGTGACGAAATATGGTCGTTGCGTGGTGTCACTATCTGACATGCAGAAATCAAATCTTTAAGGTTTCTTCGCAGCGACCGTATCTCGCCACCCCTGACCTGACACTACGCAACGACCGTATTATGTCACCCCCAATCTGACACGCACCGACCGTATTTCGCCACCCCTAATCTGACACGCACCGACTATATTTCGTCAGCCCTAACTTGACTCGACGGCCCTATTTCACTACCCCCAATTTGACACGCAACGACCGCATTTCGCCAGCCCTATTTTGACACCCCCAATATGACTTTTGTGCTACCAACCCCTCTCTCATTGTACCCTGATTGACATCTTTATGGTAACAAATTGAATAAAGTAGAAATCAAAATACACAGGGCTTGTATTTGGTTTAAAATGAGTCTGTTGATTTAGGAATCCATAGTGCAACTGCAAACTCTTAAGATGTCTGAATCTCATTTTGAGGTTGTATGATATCATAGGATTTGTCGGTAGTCGTAATTTGCCAATGTTATTCATACCCAAAAAACGTCAGAAACTGACAACTGACTGACTGATGAAGAAGAACTGACTGTGCTTGTCCTTCTTCAATCCTTGCCAGGAAAAAAAGAGCTGATATTGCATTAAAATGTCATTGCTGTTTCTAGCTACTTGCAGACTGGCTTAGATAATTTTCATCAGTATTTTCCGCATTTTGTGGCTTGAGTTTCCAAGTGCAGTTTTAAGTATTCTGTGGCGACTGCAGCTGCCGCAAAACCATGGCGGTATTTTCATACCATGGCCGCTACAGCCAAACCTAGGGCGACTGACTTTTTAGCTGCCACAAACCAATGACGAGCCATTCAGTTAACCATGGATGAGCTGCCGTTACCGCGGCAGCAAACTGAAAACCAATGGCAGGTAAAATTTTGCTGCCGTAATCACGGCAGACCGTAAAGACAGGGCCGTAAAGACAGGGCTGTCCCTTATGGTGACAATATTAGGTAAGTTGGAACGTTTTTTTATGGATACAGTTTGGGTGGATTTGGGGTTATGGTTTAAGTAGATATAATTCCGCATTATCAATTAAAATCTGGTACATTAATTTGTGAATATACCGTTAATACTGATTTCTGAATATGCGCTATAAAACCATGGCAAGAGTTGCTGCGGTTCGTTCGTGGCAGGAGCTGCCATGAAGTGGTAAGAACTGAGTTTCTGAACTTTATTTGTATTTTAGATCTTTGTAGCCATTAATTTAAATCTGTTAGGTCTTTCTCTAACTCAAGTCATAATCTTTAGTACCGGTAGTTTCGCTATTTCTATGCCTATATTGATTAAGACAAGAAGCGAGATAATTATTAGGTGATCGAACTTGTATTTCGGAAATATCTGAAATTTTCATCTGTTTTTTCGCAAGCAATTTATGATATCGGAAGTGTTCCGCGAATCAATAGAGGTCGAAAATTGCTACAGTTAAGAATATATAACTGGTGTACTGCCAGACCATCATATTAAAATAAGCTGTCTTATCATTATAAATCTTGTTTTACAGGCCATAAGTTTTTTAAGTTTTGCGCATAGCCTTTATTAGTCCTGTGATACATATAAGACATTCTTTATATTCAACCATGTCATGGCTTTCTGGAACTGAATATATAGACTCGCTTGTAAAAGACTACTTAAAGTTTCGAGGATTCAACAGCACTGTCAAAGTGTTGGAGAGTGATTTAAAATCGGATAAAGACAAAGGATTTCGAGTAGATAAAATATTACAGCAATTGTTGCTGTATATCAGCACATATGACATTGTTGCATTGAAACAATACTGGAATCATTTGAATTCTACATTTTTTTGTCGTTTTGTTAAAGGTTACGAAAATACAATTAAACGTTTTGAGACAAGCTTGTATCGCCTGTATGTTGTCCGTGCATATCAGAATTCGAAACAAAGGGAGTTGCAAATTTTTTTCCAGTGGATGACCTCAGACTTTGAGGATACCACAGAATGGAAAGATTGGTACATTTTACCCTATCTACAATCTCCAGAAACCAATCCCACTTTTGCTCCCTATTTTACCAGACAGTGGGCAGAGACATATCTTGTATCTCTACATAATTTACTAGCATCTCTATTCTCTTGCATGCCAGTCCCAGAGCTTGTTAATGCATGCATAGATGATGGCGAACGTATTCTTAAATTGGAAAAAGAAAACGAAATGCTTAGACGGAAAGAAGTTAATAATGAATTCAATTTTAAATCATTGGAAGGTATTGATCCTCCTCGATATGTTGAATCAATGGGAAATTTAGGCTCATTGGCCAACCAGACTCAAGCTAGAAACCAGTCAAAGAAACGCCCAATATTTGAATTCAAAAACTAATACAGTACTGGAAACTCTTCTCCTAAAGACATTGAATACACTGAAAAGAAAAGTAAAAGCCAAGAAGATAAATAAATTCTGTTGCCAGTTTTGATAATACGTCAATGACATCATCACCAAAATTGTCAACGAGCAAGCTTGTTTCTCAGTCTTCAAGGAGAATATTCTCACCAACAAAATGACAAAGTTTGAAGAAGAAAGAAGAGCTCTTTGGGCTCAAAGAAAAAGCGGGATCCTATAATCTCAGGGACAACAACTACTGTGGCGAGTTCACAACCATCCATTGTACCAACAGAGGAAGCAAGTATTGGTGCAGTAATCTCAATAGACAAGCATCAGAAAATTGGTATTGATGAACAACAGCAAATCAGTGTTAGTCCATCTAATAATGTTGAAATATCCTATGAAAGCAATATCGTTCTGAAACAAACATCATTGGAAAAGGAGATGAAGAATAGTGGATTTAGCAATACCGCTGTTAATGATGTTGTATCATCGCACCATTTTGTAAACAATCTTCATAAGCTTTCTCTTGGAGAACCTTCACAAACTGAGAAACGTAGCTTGGATACTTCTAATATTTTAGGTAATGAAATACTGCCTTCATCAATACCTACAACCGGCAATTCAACCATTCTTATTACTTAGCAAAGAGGTTTTCTTAGAACATCATTCAAGTATTCTACAATGCAAATTTGAATGAAAATGGTACAACAGTAGGAAGCCTTGATGCACAGGGAGTTGTTAAAGTATGGAAAAACTCTCCCAGAATCAGCACATTGGCTTCGGTAATGATGAACAGTCCAATTCGATGTTTGGAATGGTGTAAGAAACCTGTTGATATATTGTTATTAGGAACTGTGAATGGTACTATACGATTGTTCGATACAATAAGAAGTGTAACTTGTGAAGATGTTACAATAGAGGATTCCCAAATCTATATTACTAATCTTAGATCTCACCCTTCTGGGACCTCATTTATCACATCCTCTGCAGTGTCACCAGTGCCAGAACAAAGGCTTGGCAATGGTATATTGACAGTTTGGGATATAAAATCGAGCCGTGTTCAGATGTCACACAGAATTATTAAAGATCGCTTGAGTGAAATTACATGCATAGAATATAATCATAACGGAAATTTATTGATAGCTGGAGATTCTATTGGTAATATTGCTCTTTATGATATGAAGACATTTACTGTGATTCATTTATGGAATGCCCACCGAGGGAGAGTTTGTTCATTGCAATTTTCTCATGATGAAACTCTTGTGTATAGTGTTGGTTCAGATGCTTTATTACTAGCTTGGAGTTTAAATCAGTTTTCGAATCAACCGACTATATTTCATTTTGCTGATCGTAATAAGTTGAATCAGAAAGACTCCTCGTTCGTTCTTGATCCCGAGGGCAAAAATCTTTTGATGCCTCAAGGAGCCAAAGGTGTAATATATAAAATAGAAAATGCCACAGAAACATTAGCACCAGTTTTAACTCTACCTGAACATAAATCTCCTGTTACCGCTGTGGACTGGACTGCAACCAATGCATGTGGACACTGCTTGACAGGTTCAAGTGATGGCAAAATACAAATGGCAACCCTGCTTGTACAAAATTAAAATTATACTTGCTGGTCATTCCAAATCAATATTTTACAAATAAAATAGACTATTATTGATCTTAAAAAAACATTGCGTCTCGTTTAATTTTTCAAATCATGTTTGCAATTATTGAAAAAATTTGTTAATTTCTATGATTCCTCTTTTGATGATTTGAGTACTATACCCAGACCCAGAACTAATTTTGTGTCCGTACTTATAGATAATTGCTTAATAAGGAAAGTTAAGCAAAATACCAAATTTTTTTCTTGCATTTTTGCGTATTGAATGAAAACTCTTTTTGTCGTAGTTGCTGCTATACTGTGTTATCATTAATTTCTCTCACTCAGGGCATTTCTTTATTGCTCCACCTCATCCATTTTTGTACTTACAGCTTAATCACATGGTGTACCATGGCCTCTCATCCGGTTACAAGTCCATGTTGGGTAGGGGATTAGTTAGCCAGTCATTTTGTTTTAGATGCATGGACTTTTGATGGTGGAGGAAGCTGTAACGAACCAGTGGCAAATTTATTATGAAGTTGTGATAAATGTGTATTTGGTATATTGTCATGGTATTACTCGTGTAACTGTAATCAACTTCTGCTGGCCAGCATTATTTAAACTATTATTCAGATGTGGTTAATAATAACCAGACCTGGAGTCGAAGCCTGGGGCAGTGACATTTTGATGGAGACTTATCTGGAGCTCCCCAGTAACGCCAGACGCCCTGTAATAACATCAAATTTTTTCAGGTTTCCTATTAGATCATTTCAGGTCACTTTTTAATAGATCTAAAGTATTTTTTATATGAGAAATAATATTCAAGTCAATTCTACCTACCAATGTTTTTCACAGTAGATATTTATTTCAAAACAAGCTTGGTTTTCCATAACTACGGTATTTGACAGATTTTGTTTCAGTCATGATATTTGAAGCATGCGTCTATTCTATCCTCACTATCTTTTCTTCAGTCATTTTTCACTATGTGGAATATCATTTTTAACAATAATATAGTAGCCTATTAACACTATCTTAGGTCTACATTTATTGATATACAGATATCGCTATTGATTGGTATCCTATGCACACTTATTTACTTGTGTTATTGTCTCATCACTGATATTTTTCTAGTAAATTTACAGATTTATAATAAGCTCTGTTGAGATTTTCAAAAATATGGGAAAGATTATTGTGTTATTTTCATGAAAAAAAAAGATGAGTGTGATCAAGTTTGGTCACATACTGTGAAAGGAATAATAGAAGAATATCATGAGCTTATGTTTGATGCATTAAAAACCAAAAAGATTAATAAAGAGAATCTAAAATTATGATTGGACCTGATGGTACTTGACTTAGCATGTGTATCGATTTCATCAAGGACAAAATTACCTTTTGGTCTTAGTATCTGAGGCCGTTGGTAACATGCTTAGTTTCTGTTAAATGGATTTGAGGTACTAACAACCGCAACTTATATTGCAGTCATCGGCAACATGCTCACATTATTTTAGAAAATATGCCCTTGTTTTGTTTAAAAATATATTATTCAACCACACAGGTGATTAAATGAACATTGACTCGGCGGTATGGCGCATCGTGCTAAGCGTTAGGAATACGCTCGCCGCCGCATCTCTGATTACCCTTTGTGGGATAGCAGGTTCGAATCCCATTCGGCGATGATCATGTGCGAGAGGATTGCTGAACTCCTCGCCGCCGTAGGGTGGTTCACGGCTTCCTCCACCACCAAGTCCATGCTTCTGAAAACAAATACCTGGCTAACTAATCCCATACTCGACCTGGACTGGTAACCGGAGGAGAGGCCGTGGTTCGCCATATGATTAAGCCGTCTTATCGGCTTTCCTCTCCACCAGGATAAATAATGATGTAAATCCTATCCTATCCCTTTCGTTAATGAATCCAAAGCTTATAAGATGGCTGAATATTCAACTTCATATAAACACATTCAAGTAGTTTGGTGGTATTGCATGGTCCTTATGAGTGAATCAGATTTCCCCTCATTATTCCTATTAACAATTTCAATGGGCACTCATCTAATCATTTGTTAATATGTATGTACTTGCACAAATCAGGATTAGAAATGGCTTTGTATAAAACGGCATCAGGCGTCTTGAAGAGCATCGAAGAAAAGCAAGGATCTGTCAAATCTCTCGTTATTGCATCCAAATATAAGGTAAATTCATTTAAATGTCAATTAACAGTTAGCTGGCTGACTTCCAATATATATCAAGTGTTGTATCAAGTTATGTAGACAAATTGTAAAAGGTTTGTTTAATTTTTTCTCGCTAATACTTTTCAAACAAAGTTTGGTGTTTTTTTATAGAATGTTAAGCAGCTATATGCACTTGTTGTTGAAACACTCAAATATAAAGATGTACTGATGGAAATCATCAACAAAACCAAGCTTATGCAAGGAACGCATATATCGAAATATGAGGCCTTGGTTAGTACCGCTTCATCAATATTATAGTTTAGAGAATGTCTTGAAGCAATTACCGAAGCTCTCAGTCCATTGAAATTCAAATGGATACTATTCCAGTTTATTGATTTTTACTGTCTTGAAGTGAATATCTATCAGTTTTGTTTAGAATGACAGTTTTCTGTACTCATTTACTACTCTATCTGTGGTAGGAACTTTTAACAATATATTGGGAACTAACAAGTTATGCTGAATAGGGATTTCGTGTTTGCTCAAGTTTAATATGCTCTAGTTAGGTCGATTCTGCATCTATATCAGATTCTGATTGTAGTAATGAACTAAGTGAATTGTAACGTGAATATATCTATCATTTCTGATTCCTGATATTGTATTTACTAACTAAATCTTTTTGTAGGTTCTATCACATGACTTTTTATTTGGACGAGGTGTTCAATGTGGGGGAAGATATAAGAAGATTATTCACTCAAGAAAGTCACAGCTAAATTCTGCATTGACTATGATGAAAGTAAAAAGAAAAGTGAAGTCAAATGAGGATTTGTTGCAAAAAGTATCTTTATAATACTAAGTGTTTTATATCATTGCCCTCTTTTCAAGCCTATTCTTTGTGGTGGTATTTATAGTGTTGCGTTTCGTACCCACATGGATATTTGTGTAATTGTTGCAGCATTTGATAAATTCTGGTATTTTTTGGCTTTTAGGACTTGAAAGACGCTATCAATCTTCCAAAGTATTTAAGAATCAATACATTGCTAACCTCGAAAGATGACGCTGTTGAATATTTCAAGAAGATTGGTTATACTCTCGTCGCATCAAGGTATGTTTGTCTTTTTTATTTGTAAAATTGCTGAATTTTTGATTTTTGTCCGAAATTGAATATATTAAATGACAATCAAGGATTTGGGTGGTAGACTAGGTATTATTTAAACGGATTTTAATAATGAGAAATTAATTTCTTTTTTAGATCTCCTCATCAACTACAGAAAAATGAATTTATGATTGATTCTGTTATTCCATATCTGTTGGTTTTTCATCCGAGAACTGATTTACATAATGATAGGTAAGCTGATGTATAGGCTACCCTATACGAGAAATTTAAATATTTCAACTAATTTGAAAAACATTGCACAATACTTTCAAAACTAATGATTTTATTGATGGAAATTATAAATTTGCAATGATTGAATTAGTATAAAGCTTGACAAAATAGACGAATTAGTAGTATTCAAATATAATTGAAATTTTTTATATTCAATCTTTATGCTGAATGACAAAGAGACTCACTAATAACACCTGCATCTTGCGATTTCTTCATGTTATTTTGATACTGTTCCATCAAAATATTTTCAACACTCATCCTATTTAGCGAACCTTGAAAGTTTCCCATTTTTTTTTCACTTCTTCCACTTACAGATTGTATAAAGGGGGTGAAATTATATTTCAAGATAAAGCAAGTTGTTTACCCGCTTATATATTATCACCAACTAATGGTTCTGTAGTAATTGATGCATGTGCAGCTCCTGGGAATAAAACAAGTCATATGGCTGCAATTATGTCCAACAGGGGGTAAGATTTGACCATTTTACTTCAAGTTTTATACAGAGTACAGGGTAGCATTATTCTTCGAATTTAATTCCGTTAATCAATGCCAATTTTTTCTATTCTGTAATACAACATGACAGTAGGATTTCTGTTTATTAGACAACGCTGCTGGAGAATATACAAAATCATAACTACTAATTGAAATTTGTAGAAAACTAACTTATTGTTTCAGTGTTAAAGATGGCAATGACTAAGGCAACAGGGACTTGTATTGCTTATTATCCCAGCAAGGACCTTGAGTCCGCTTGTACATGATCGTTCCACATTCTATGCAAGCCTATGTTATGGGAGCTTATTTTAATAACACAAGTGAATTAATTCCCTTGCTAATTAAATATTATATTTCAGAAAAATTTTTGCATTCGATTTAAGCCCTCAAAGGTTAAGTACAATGGACTCTATGTTGCTTAAAGCAGGAGTTTTATGCTGCCAAACAAAAGTGCAAGATTTTTTAAAAGTCAAACATGATGATCCACAATATTGCAAAGCAACAGAGATTCTTCTTGACCCATCTTGTTCAGGATCTGGAATTGTGAATAGGTCAGTATTTGTAAGGGGGCCGAATTACAATAGTATCTTGTCTCGATAACAGTTTTGTTTTCATTGCAATGCAAGTTTTTTTTTTATATGAATGTAATATATTTATTTTTTGAACTCAATATTTTCTTACAAGCGAAGTATACAATACTTTGCCTTCATACTGTACCCATATAATGGCTTGTGTGAATGTTTTTAACTTCACACAATAGGTAGGATACAAACAAAGATAAAATTGAGTAAGATTGATGTATCTAATCTTCTTTATGAAATCAATGAAACATAAACATAAGAAGTCTGAATTTTACTTTGGGCTAAATTAGATATACCTAATTACTCATCTTCCTCGGCGGTGTGGCGCATCATGCTAAGCGTTAGGAATATGCTTGCCACAGCACCTCTGATTACCCTGCGTTGGTTCGTAGGTTCAAATCCTGTGGGGGATAGTTATGTCGGAGAGGATTGCTGGACTAATCCCATACCCGATATGGACTGATCCCGAACGAGGGCCTGTGGTTCGCTATATCATTTCGTTGTCTCAATGGCTTTCCTCTTCCTAAATATGTAAATCCTATCCTTGTGTAAAAGAAGTACCGGTAATCGTGTGTACTGTAAAGTGTATACATCATGGCATTGTTTTCGATCTAATTTGCTTCACATCACAGTTGCTATCTTGAAGATATGATCATTTTTTCTGCTTTTCTCAGGTTAAATTCACTAACAAATGATGATAAATCAAGTTCAGAATCGCGACTTCAATCATTAGCCAATTTTCAATCACAAGCTCTGGATCATGCTCTTCTATTTCCAAAGGTATCATCTACATCTACAAGTTGCAATCACTGGAATGATTCATTTTCTTCCACAACTAAAAAGTTTTTGATTTCGTAATTCAAATAATTGTGCTTTTTATATAGCCTAAGTTTGCTCAAAGTAGCTCTCAACCAAACAGGAGAGATTAGTGATAGAATTCTTGCAAATGACTCGCTAAAAACCCCAGGTATGTAGTAACTCCAAGTTCCCAAAACTTCTGAAAACTTAAGTAGGTTTATCTTTGCCGCGGATATTTCATTGTGTACCAGCAGTCAAGTGATGCATATGGTTTGACTGAATGAGATTCATCATTTATTTTGTATTGTTTACTCTCTCTAGGTCAATAAAGTTGTATATTCTACGTGCTCCATACACACCATTGAGAATGAGAAAGTTGTTATGAAAGCATTGGAGAAACATCCACATTTTGAATTAGTACATGTATTGCCTGAATGGCAAAATCGAGGTTTACCTATAGATGGCTTTGAAGTGGAGGCCAAGAAGTGTATAAGGTACAAGAAACTGCGAATAATACTCATTTATATACCGGTAATATTAGTATTTATGTAGCTCCAGCGATTTTATTTTAATTTGTTTCCCGGCAAAGTGAGACTTCTGTTGCTGCATGTATTCGCTGATAGAGATTTTACATTTCGTTTATATTTTGTAACTTTCAAAGAAAAACTATGACACAAACTATGGATTTCATGTTTTAGGCTACTCCTGTTACAGGACTTAATAAAATTCATAAGTGAGAACAGAGATTCACAAGCATACGTAGATGAAAACAGAAATGCAGTTGCAAAGTTCTTAAGACACGAAAATTTTTCATAAATTGCATCCCAATCACGCGATAGTTTGTTGTCTGCTCTTCACTTTTGTAATCCCTTTCGTAATGGCTTATATTTCTTTCAAAATCAATTTATAACAGTAAGTAAGTGGGAAACTCTAACCAATACGAGCAGTACAACTTCATAAATCAAGCAGAAATGTGTGGCACAGACGAACTATATTACGTATGAATGTAACCAAATTAATGCTGCTAATAATTCAGAGTCTTGAAATTTTTTATCTGAAGGAGAATGATCTTGTCTCCAGGGTTCGCTCGCATGCCGAATAAATGGGTTGTCCACCCCTGCCCTATTAGATATCAAGCTTGCGTCCAAGGCGAATGTCGTGAATAGGAGTGTTTGTATACAAAACGATTCATATTTTGTTACTACAAAATTGAGATTTAAGTAATATGTTGATCTTGTCCTTTTTTTTCTAACATCGTTTACAAAATAAGTAATCAGCAAAACAAGTTTAAATCATATGCATGCGTTTCAGTAGTTTTGTGCCTGCGTGACCGAAGTAAAAAGATTTCATTTTGATGACTATCATACATTGTCAATTACATTTTTCTGTAAATTGAATTTTTATTTTTGCAGGTGCACTCCGGAACATGACCAAACAAATGGATTTTTTGTTGCCCTATTCCAAAGGAAATCATGATAAAGTTGTTAACAGCAGGGCTTAATAATTTTTTAAAAAAGTGAAATAAAAGGCATAAAGCCATAAAATCTCTTTTAAAGATATCTTGGTGTATGTAATGATTTTGTTGGCAGCTTAATTTTCTTAGACTCATAGGCTGGGGAAAAGCCGTCTGAAGAGGGACTTAACGAAAAGACTAATGGAATTATTTGAAAAGCGCCCAGACTGATGCCGATAAATTTAATTTATCTTTTTTTTGCCGCGTTTGGAATAGCAAGGGGTACCAGTAAATTTCCGATCAATTCTTTTGCACTGTTCGGCGTACGTCTGAGAATATATCCAATATCACCCCCTCATTGGTCCCTATACATACAACACTTGATGTTTTCGCTGTGAAGTTAGGGAAATTTGAAATCGACTCCTGGCATACGAAAGTTTCTAACAGACAAATACCTATAAACATACTTACCGATCGAGATCGATAAGTAATAATAGAAGCGATCATTCTGATGTCGTCTGTTGAATGAATTAATAAGAATGAAAGCATCCATCCGTATTAGATCTCCCATTTAACCGCGTTGCTAATACCGACTATTTCAATATATCGCGTGTGAAGCCACCAAGTTAGTCTTTTTATTCAGAATAGTCATTGCTATATGCATAAGAATCACATTGATCAGGATATAGACGTTGACCAAAATGTGACAACTGACGAGCATTAAAAGTGAACGTCATATCAACACGCTGCTATCTAGAGCAGACACGCATAATTTCGAGTGTTTCTAAAGTGGACTTGCGCAGTCAACCGCTGAAACTAGACTGATCTTATCCGAGTTGTTGCATTACTGAATAGTTAGTTATCTGACGTACTTACTTAGTTGAAATTTTTTCCGTTAGAAGGTATGGCCAAGATCAGAAACATCTGCAAGTATTTTGCGATGATAGTCGGCGTAGTAATCCTGGTATGCATTATACGAACATTCGTTTTAGTCAATATTACGAAAAAGAAATTGCCGAAGTGCGCCAAGAATGAAACATTGGGATATTTCAAATTGAATGATGTAATATGGGAAAGGTTCAAAGATACCCTTCGGATGAGAACTGTAACCCATGAGATGTCGGAAATACAGCAAATGCTAAATTATGTGATCGAAGGTAAAGACCAGTAGTTCTGGGTATAAAGCGTCACCACCATTCGGTTTGGCACTGGCTACCGATTTATCTCTCAAGTATAACCTAAGATATTTGTTAGTTGCCTAAGGTCATGCGTAAATGTCGCTATCTTTCAATTTGCCAGGACATACGTTTGTTATAGGAAATGCACATTTTACGTGCGCTTAATTTCCGATTTAATACATTGAAGCTGTTTGTTTAACAGTTGGTACGATGGTAGCACAAAGGTCTCATTGGAAGTTGCCGGAAATAGGCAATCATTAACTTGAAAATCATACCAAATACTAAATAGTAGTAAATGCCATCAAAAGTTGTACCCTGTGTATTTGAACATAAAACCAATGTTTTGCGCAGTTTTTTTTTTATCAAAACGGTAAAAACTAATATCTTTTTTAAGCTGAAATGCGAGTAAAATTTGGATATGTATTACAATCAATAAAGTACTAGCATTGGCCATAAATTTATTATCTGCGCACGAATTTATTTCGTAACAATGGCTGCTGTACGGCGTGTGTTTTGCATGAGTAGCGTAAGCGGGAGCACATGTCAGTTGTATGTCGTTACTTGCTAAAGTTGTATGTCGCCCACCGCTAGTAGTAATTGATTTGAAAATTTGGCATCAAAATGTCAACGTAGAAAATTTGGCTATATAGCGTCAAAGTGCCTGGGCGAAAAACTATATACCGGTATATATTGACGAGCATTATTAAAACAGTCAACCCAGTCGCGAGTGCGCCATAATTCGTAGTTCAATGTGACGATTGTTTTTGTTTATAGATGAAAATTATTATGGCACACACGGTATCGAAAATGTATGTATTTGGCCAGTAGTACAATTTGCCGACATAAAGGGAAAGCATTTTCCAATCCCTGATAAATTTTAAATTTCATAGATTTCTTATGCATTATTTTGTCTGTGTAGCTCATCCGAAGATATTCAAATCCAAACACGTGCAATATGAAATAGTGAATGGATACAGTCTTCTGATTCATGTACAAGGAAGAGACAAGACCCTCCTGCCTTACCTACTTGCGTCTCATTTGGATGTTGTGCCTGTTGTCGAAGATGAATGGCATGCCGACCCGTTCGATGCAACGGAAAATAAAGATGGAACAATCGTGTATGCAAGAGGGGCAATAGATGATAAAGGAAGCCTAATGGTAAGGCCGATCTAACTTCATCAATAAATTACTTTTATGGCAAATGGCCAAAACGTAGACAGTTTATTTTGAATATTCTCAAAATACATTTCATATATTTTATCGATTTTTGCATCTATTAATTTATCTTCCCGCCTTGAATTCTAGTAGTATTAAAAAGCACGCAGGCTATTAATTTTTACCTTTTCCCATAACATTGCAGGAATAACCTCAATAAGCTTTGTAGTGTATTCTATATTCAAATTTGTGTAAAAAGTCGTAAACGAAGCCTTCTACTCATTAATTGCGGAATTATGCCAATTTCTGCAAAAAATAATAAATTTTATTTTTACAGTCAAAATTAGCTGCATTAGAGTTTCTGTTACATCGTGGGATTTTGCCTAAGAGAAGTTTCTATTTGGGATTCGGACATGACGAAGAGGTAATTTGGTGGTACTCCCGTAGTGCCCATAGGTTTCAGTCTCTTTACAAAACAAAATTAGTTACTTTCATATTGGTACACACACTCCTGGAGCGCCAATTTGGTCTTTTAATATCAGATGAGTCCTTCTGATGTATATGTTAGAATTAGAATAGTATATAAATTGAAACGTTGCAAACATTTTAAACTTTTTCTTCGTGGTATTTGTTTCATTCATATACATACTTCATTTATATAATATATAAAGGTTCTGGGTCCGGATGGAGCTCCACATATAGCAAAAAGATTGATAGAAAAAGATGTTAATAAACTACATTTTGTACTGGATGAGGGTATGGTGGTGATGAAAGACGTCATTCCTGGGTCAAATAAGGAACTAGCAGTGTAAGTTGCAAGTGAATTTTATTCGAATTTGTCTCTGTGACCCCGTGTGATATATTTTCATGCAAACATATGATTGGCGAGCAAAAATTCAACGGTTGTTCATAGTTTTCTGATGTCCGTAATAGCATGCTATTGTGAATATATATCCGACCGATTTTATTTTGTAGTATTGGAGTTACCGAGAGAGGGTTCATCAATCTGAATATAAGTGTTGAAATTCATGGAGGACATTCGTCGATACCTCATCGCGAAACTGCTGTAGGAGTATTAGGAAACGCTGTTTCAAGGTACAGGGTGAAAAATGAATTAATTAATCATGGCCCACAAGACTGAGTGATTCCGACTGAGATGCTAGTTCAACTACAGCTCTATGAAGTTAATGTCTCTTGTACCAACGACTAACATACCGCTTGTACGGACAAAAATATCCAAATGATCCAAATTCCTATACAGATAGTACATCCATTATGCACATGATAACAAATTGGCTATCACCTTATATATATATATGATTTGAACTTGAACTGTACTGTACTTCAAATTTGTATGAATAATCTCAAATAAATTTCGTTAACCAGATACTCTGCATGCTGCATGCTGCAACCGTAATCTAAATCTGTAATTGCCCATATAATACGATTATTTTATGTAGCTCATTCTGTTTTAAATTAAACTAAATATTATTTGTCAATAGTATGTCGCATAATAGAAATATGTCAAATCAACTCGTTACACCTAGTCTTTATTAGAAACAAATGTTCATTTCTCAGACTTCAATACAACCAAATGCCGGGACGGATTGACTCCATTGTCGCGGAATTTCTTGATTCTCTGGCACCAGAACTCAGCTTTCCTCTAAATGTCTTTGCCTGTAACTTATGGCTGTTCAATGTGAGTAATATCGATAATTAGGTTTTTTAAGTTTATTTGAAAAATACTTCTGACCACTGGTCCCCGCTGGGTGTTCATGGACACCACGGGTCACAGATTTTTGGGTACCCATGAGCTCTGCATATACATGATATTAAAAGAAGGAAAGATGGTACTACTCGTCATTGACAATTCTATACGTCAGACTACGTGGTCAGACAATATCCTGTTCAAATGGATCAATAGATTTTTCTCTACAAAAAATTATTCAAGTTGTGTGTTGTTCAAGTTAAATTGGACATTTAACACTCTTGACATCTTACCCTTGCAAGTAGTATCCGATAAAGTATATATTATGACATATATCAGCCTCCACTTTCGAGACAGTTTCAGTGATGATGTGAGTGATGACGATGAGAAGATGCTCTTCCCAGAGACCATTTGGCCATAGCACTATAGATAGACTCAGTTTATTTAGTAGAGTTTACAATCTACAAGAAAATTATTAAAGGGTCCATAGCATTGATGAAAAGGTTAGGAATCCCTGCTTTATACCGAGAGCTTCAGGATGGCATGGTTACTGACCGTTCGCTTCAGTTACCCAATTTCATACTGATGTCATATTGCTAGACAGAGAAACCATCTTCAAAGTCATTTCGGCCATTGCGTCATAACTTTTGATCACTTAGTAAAAAAAGTTCTTCAAATCTTTATCTATTCAGACTATCCAGCTTTTCAAACCAGTGCAGTGCAACTGGGCGGTTGTTTCAAAAGAAATCGTTGGATTTTCAGAAATATCACAGCATGCACAAAACCTGTACTGCGGTATTGCACGGCCTTTAAATAGTTTGCTTTATTTTTAGCCGCTTTGGTGGAGACTCTTTAGTTTAGATAACAAATTACAAGGAATAGTCCGTACAACAACAGCGGTTACAATTATGAGAGCAGGAGAAAAATTCAATGTTATTCCATCAACGGCCTGGGCTGTTGTCAACCAAAGGACACATCATATGGATACCGTTACACAGGTTTGAAATTACCAAAATTACATGCATTATTTGGCATTTCAAAGAGTCATCGGAAGGTTGACTTTCCTTATTTACATTCCGCTCGTCAAGAAAGATAGGTTTTCTTAATTAAGAAATGCAGTAGTTCTCTGACTAATTAGATATCATTAATAAGATGCCATTTATCATAAGATTCACGTTACTCATGGTTTCAATGTTGATCCGCATTCAACACATATTAAGACAAATCACTGTACTTTATAGGCTATATTTCACATACATGCGGATTTCAAATAAGGATACATGTGAATTGTCAATATACGATACGATTGACAACTTTTCAATTATACGATTTTAGGTGATGAAACACAACAAAAATGTTATAAATGATGATAGAGTTCAAATAAATATAACTCGCCGGCAACCACCCCATCCTATATCCCCATTCGATCGATCAACTTCTTTGCCATATCAAGTAATTTCAGACACGATTGATCAGATTTTCGACGAAGTTGTGATTGTACCAGGTAATTTCTAATAAATAGTACCTTGAAATTAGATATCTGAAGAACCTAGAGATTATGCCACCCGATGAATCCTGGTCGGTGATTTCGAGGTCATGATCAACCCAGACGAAAAGCAAAATTCAAGTGAAATTTTGGCTTAAATAACCTTTTCAAATATTGCGATCTCACTATTGTATCTGTTTTATAAATAGCGAGATTACCAAGATTTGACATCTTATAAACTATTTGATATTTTTTTCTAGCGACACTGGTTGCAAATACGGACACGCGGTGTTATTTAAATTTTACCAAAAATATATATCGATTCAATCCCATATCACTAACTATAGAAGACATTGCAACGTAAGTACTTTTGCTTTTATTTTTCAAGGATTACAAGTTTTCGTTTACTGGGGAAGGAAATTATATTTAAGGGGGCATATAGGGGGACAATAACATGCCGAACTCGATTAAATGGGCGTGTTATCGTAAACGATAACAAGTAACAAATTGAAATCTGTATTGTATGTCCAGGATATGAGAGTGTCTCCCAGGACGCTATTACATAAATAACTTTTTGATATGTACCCGGGCCGTATTTTATCACAAATTTTGTCGGTTTCAGGATTTGTTCACGCTATTGAAGGTATCTGTAAAGATACTTTGTGTCCATATTTGTGCGTCAATCCCTTGTTTTCCAGCAAGAAAATTTCCAAGCTCATTACTAGTTCCGTTGAATCCGCTGTTATCGACATCCGGGTGATGGTATCTTTGGGTCTTTTTTTGTGTAATTTTGTGACCTTCTAACTAAGTGAAAAGTGATCTCATGTAACACTGCCGCAGATGTTATCTCGTGCCCTTCTGTGTAGGAAATACAGTTGTGGCGTAAAGTAAATAAATGTAATTTACTAACTTCTATTCGTTTCAGCATTCATGCTATGGACGAAAGAATTAGCAAGAAAAATTTTGAAAGAATGATCAATTTTTTCTATCATCTTATGTGGAACGCTGACAGAATTCAACCTCGTGATTTAACCAGTAACAAGCAAGAGTTATGAATACAACTGTATATCGATTTTTACGCTTCGACTTTGGAACGGAATTTTATTGTGCTCTATAAAATATTTGCACTAATTCATAACCATATCACTGTGATTGAAATATGATCTCGATCTACACGTGCACAGTCGATTTAATAATTACACAGTACGCTTACAGAATTTACATTTTAATTTTTAGCGTACGTAATAATATTAGTATAAATAAATACTGTGATGCCAATGGAATTCTTTAAATATTATTCTCGAAGATCAGCGTACAATTTTCACATGTTAAATAAAAATTATACCGTTTACTATGCTGATTTGTGCCGATGATGCAGTATATGTTTTAATTGGAGCTTGATCGAACGTCGATTCGAATTTAAAGTAAATATTTTCCCATTCGATTTTTGTTCGCATTATTTTACACAATGCAGCTGTTTATTCACATGGTCGCGTACTGAGCTTCAACTGAATAGTCAAAGCATCCCTCCTTCACATGATATATCGACCTTTGTCAGCGGGCGATTTAGTGATCATCAGCAATTTAGAGGTAATCTAGTTGGAAACCGCCACATTCTATTTTCTATTCAGCGACACCAAGAAAACGGTTATACGTAAAAAAATTAAAACAAACAGAAAGTGCTATACCCTCAATTTGTTCACAAAATTGGTTTAATGTAACGTGTAAAGATTATCCGTTAATTTTCAGGAGTAATTCTTCATGATAATAGCAGCCAAATGGACGATCACAATGATTCGATAGGATCGAGTTTAATTTAATCTACCTTAATTGAGAATTTTGCTTCCTTACCGGTACTAGGATTAAGCGCAGTTAAGCCAACCCCGATATTAGTTCGCATTCCCGAGATTTATTCATCATATGGTTAGGTCATTTCATCATATTTTTGACTGGCCCTGTATATTGTCACGCCGAAAGTGGATAAACAATTCAGCATCGGTATGGCACTCGATCGCTGTTGCGCACCAGACGATTACAGCAATTTAGCTAAAATGGGTTGAATGTCCAATTAAAGACTCCACGTAAGAGTATCAAGTCTTTAAATTTTTGAAAATTGTTTTCAAGAAAAATTGCTATTTATGGTATCGAAGACTCAAAAATACTATGCAAGTGTGGCGGGACTGGAATTGTCCTATTTTTTATTGTTTTGTATTTTATTTATATTTAGTGTCTAGTTATGGCATATGCATTGGTGTGTGGAGTCTGAGCCCTAATTCGCCCAATAGTTAGTAGAGATGTACCGATGTATCGGTATCGGCAATATCGGCCATTTTTTCGGTATCGGCCATGTATCGGTATCGGTTAGATTAAGGCCGATATTTCCGATATATTTACCATTTTGATATGGTCCAGAATGTTTTAAAAGATAGGTTGTAATACTACTTTTTAATTTATTTTTTGTCTGGAGAGATCGTGAGCTATGAGCCATACATGTCCCACCCCCGCGATAGAATAGGATTCACGTGTTTTTAGCTATTTATCAGCCAAACTAGCTCAACTAATTTGGCTATTTTCGCTGTCAAATATTTATATTGACATTTTTAATATTACATAGTAATTATGAAGAAATATATCAACACAGCACATAACAAAAAGCAACTAGGCACCCAGTTTCAAATCATACAGTGGAATTGGGGTCCCTATTAACGGCACATAGACTTTTGGCACGGGTATAAATTCTGACTGTTTGTCGTCAAGTACGAGTGTCATTTAGTCAGTCGACATCGATAAACTAAATTCCGACACAATTATCCATCCCTCTACGCAGGTATTAATTTTAATTTTGTTTAACTACACAATTACTTTATGGATATATTAGCATGGCCGCCTAGCCCTAGACTGTCTCAAAATATATGATAGCAATTGTAAAATGTTATAAAATAGTAAAGTAAAAAACCATCCTCGACGGTTATGGGTAATCCTCCTTTTTGTCGGTGCTGATTGATAGTCTTTCATGTTGGCTTTGACTTATTGCTTCGACGATTACGATTAGCCACGAAATAAAAAACTTGTAAAATGCTTTTAATTTGAACGTAGGACGGCGGCGCTAGAATGTGTGGGCGATATTCGATATTCTTTTAAACACGAATAACGATATTCGAGGATCGCGATATTAACATTAAATTCAAATTGGACATCCCGGCTTATAGAGTTTTCTAATTGAACACCGAGATTACTAGCGTTACTGTACAATGTATCTTAATCAGTTAAAGCAAGCACCAAACATTAATTTCATATTATGTGATATATCTTTTTTTTCGATCTGAAATAATGTGTACTATGAACAACGCTCAAAGACCATTGTTTTAACCTGTCTGCCTTACACAGCACACCTAATTAAGTAATAATCACATAGTATCGGTATCGGAATATCGGTAATATCGGCCTTTTTGTAGTATCGGCGTATCGGTATCGGCGTTTTAGCTGGTATCGGATCGGTATCGGTATCGGCGACAAAAGTGGTATCGATACATCTCTAATAGTTAGATTCAGTTATTCGACTCCAACCACCACTGCATATGGTCAGCCTCTTCTTGCTTCTGCTGTCGCTGGGTGAGAACCGTATTTTGTCGCTCTTATTTTATCTGTTTTAAGCGTGGATTTTACACCATTCTAATAAAGTCTCTTCGTTTGCATCGTGAACTTCGAACTTATTTGTGTGTCTTTGCAGCACACTGGATCTTCTGAACTAATTATTACAGTATTATTAGACTGTATTAGTGGCGGGCACCTACCGGTATTCCGGTTAAGTACTGTTGCAAATTGACAAGCAAGCGCCAGGATTAAAAAGTCAAACGATTTTTTAACTAAAAGTTCATGATGTCACACCGAAGAAAGAATTGCGACCTTGAACGCACTAAAATATTGGATAAAATTGTCGAGATGGAAACCGAAAACAAAGAAATTAAAAACACGAATAAAGAAATACAAATGGCGAATAAAAAATTTGAAGATAAGAATAAATCACTGGAAGCTGAGAATAAAGAACTGGCTAGACAACTGCAAGATGCTTTGTCTCAACTGAAAGTAGTCAAGACCAGTGTTATACAACTTGAAGAAAGAGATTTTGGCATGAAGGAAGTACTCGAACGGGTGATATGCCGTCTGGAGAGCATTGACGAGGTCATGGCTGAGAGTGAGGTGCCATCATTTATTCCTAAACCTATATTTAAAACTCCTGAGGTGCCTAAGAGTGTTGATAGGAATGATGAACCAGACTGCCCTGATAATGAATGTTTGATGAATGGTACCGGTACTATTGAAAAAAATTGAATTTGCTGATGAGTGTGTGAATGGTAACGTTACTGATTGCAAGGCAGTTCCTTTTGGTATGAATAATAGTATGAGAGTGGATATCCAGCCTGATACTTTTGATGGGGATGTCTTTGGACAAATAGTTGTGTCATTTTTCATCCATTAGTACCAGTAATGGATGGACTGATAAAATTGCTGGTGTACATTTTGCTGCATGTATGCGTGGGAAGGCTTTGTCCTTGTTGAATGAATTATCCCTTCCAGATAGGCGCAGTTTGAGTGTTGCAGTGAATCACTTGAAAAAGCGTTATTATCCAGAGGGTAAGGAGTCATACTTTGCTACTCTGTTTAATAACAGGAAGAAGTTGGCCACTGAGACGCCAACGGAATATGCTACTTCTCTTCGTGCATTGTCGAGGAAAGCTTATCCTTCTTTGGATGTTATTGCTCGTGAGAATGTGATTAAGCAGCGTTTCATTTCAGGTTTTCCTGATTTCGAGATGTGTAAGACTTTGACAATCAGGCAAACTCAGAGTTTGGATGAATTAATTACTGTGGCTGATGTATGTCATTCTATTGATGCTACGCACAGTGCACCTGGTTGTAATCGTGCTAATAAGCCCATGGTAGCTGTTGTGAATAATTCTGGGTGTGATGATGGTGTGAGTGAATCTGAACTTAGTAAGCTGCGGAATGATATTAAAGAGATGCTTGACCACTTTTGTGCTAGGTTTGATGAAGGTCATCGACCCCGATTTTCCCGTCAGAAGGGTGGGCGTAGAAATGAAGATATAACTTGTTATGGCTGTGGTGCCAAGGGTCACATACGTAGGAATTGCCCGGAGAACCTGTGCCAGAGATGTCATGGCAGAGGTCACACAGCTTCTCAGTGTGATAGATATTATGTTCTACAGAATTCGCAGTCCTCTACTGCTTGTTCGGCTCAGCAAACGGCCAGTGGCCCGGTAGGAAATTTTTCTCAAGGGAATAGCTCAAATTCTGCCTGGCGTGGGAATGGCCAAACTCGTGACACTGGGAATATTCCCCAGTTTCACCCTGCTCCCAAGAATAAGGATATGCCTTTAAACAGAAATCAGTAGCACGGGGGTTCTCAGTTGCTACTGAAAAGATGACGAATTTATGCATGGCCCATGACTTTGATTTGTTCTTTGAGATTACCCACTAGCTGGTATGCTATGGTTGATGTGGATGACATTACTGTACGTTTTCTTATTGATTCTGGTAGCGCTGCTACGCCTATAGATTATGCAGTTTTTTGTTCTATTGGTGGAAAGGATTGTGATTTGTCTCCTTGTGATGTTTGTTTTCAAACTGCTAATAGAACTTCTCTGAAAGCTTGTGGTATGATTAACTTGAAAATTTGTATTGATTCTGTGTGTGCTGTTCAGAGAGTGATTATTGCTGATCTTGGTGCCCCCTATGGTTTGCTTGGTATGGATTATTTCCAAGAGCATGACTGTGTTTTGTATATGTATGTAAGTCAAATGGAGGTTGATGGTAAAATTGTTCCCTGACTAAGCCCTCGTCTGTTCCTAGAATTTCCTAGTTGTAGAATTGTTGTAGATAAATGTGTGACTGTTCCCAGAAAGAGTGAGATGGTGATTTATGGTCGTTTGAATTGCCCATGGACACCCAATAGTGACGTCATAGCTGTCGCAGAAGCTGCGTGTGTGTTTGAGAGCGAGTATGGCCATCGTGGCTTATTTTTATTTCCCGGAGTGGTGGACGCCTCGTGCTCTCTAGTGCCTCTCATGGTGGTCAATGTTAGCAAGGAAGCGGTAGAAATACCTGCGGATTTGCTGATCGGTTTACTATGCCCAAGAGAAAACCTGACTGTCTCTTCTCTGGAACAAGTGGTGCCTGGTGATGTCATGGACACCAGGGAACTACCAGAACATTAGAAGAAGCTCGCGACGATCCAGAAGATTTAACGAATGAACAGCGTCAAAGTGTTCATGATTTGCTTGTCGAATTTCAGGATGTTTTTGGTGGTCCTGATGGAAAACTGGGACAAACTTC